GTAGCTGTTGATACTATTTTTTTTTCTGGGTGCATTTTGCCCATTTGTATTTTTTCTTTTCAGAAATGTCTATTCAGACCATTTCCCCATTTAAAAATGGTTACAGTTGGCTTTTATTAACTTTTTTGAGTTTCTCATGTATTCTAGGTACAGATACCTTGTCACCTGAATAATTTGCAGATATTTCTTTCCATTTTTGGCAGGCTGTCTTTTCAACTTTAGATGGTTTTCTTTGTTGTATAGAAACTTTTTAGTTTGCTATAATCCCATTTGTCAGCTTTTGCTTTTGCTGCCTGTTTTGGAGACCTTAGAAAACAAAAACAAAACAAAGCAAAACAACAACGGCAATAACCTCATGTTGAAGTGTTCCTTCTATATTTTCATCCAGTTGTTACAGTTTCAGGCCTTCCATTTAAGTTTTTGATACAACTTGAGTTTTGTTTTTGTTTGTTTGTTTTTTTTTAATCTGGTGAGATTAGGAATTCTCAGTCTCCCACACATAGATACCTAGTGTTCCCATCATCATTTATTGAAGAGTTGTGGGTTATAGTCCTATGGATTTCTGTGGTCTGGCTATTATTTTACATTGGTCTATGCCTAAGTTCTTATGGCAGCCAGTACCATTCTGTTTTGGCTGCTGTAGGCCTGCAGTATATCTTGAGATGAGGCATTGTACTGTTTCCAGCTTTGTTCTTTGTGCCCAAGACTACTTTCTTTCTTTGGGGACTTTTGTGCGTGCATATGAACTTTAGAATTATTATTATTAATTTGTATTTGTGTGAAGAATGCCATTTATATTTTTTCTTTTAGGTGTTAGGTATTGAATCCAGTGTCTCACCTATGCTAGGCACCTAATCTACCCCCATTTACACTCCAAGCCCACCAATGGTATTTTGTTGTACACTGTACCAAATCTGTACTACTTTGTGTAGTGTGGACATTGTAATAATATTAATTCTTTCAACTCATGAGCATTGGGCTTCAATTTTTGTGTCTTTTTCAATTTATTGCATTCATTCTTTGTAATTTTAGTGTAAAGGACTTTTACTTTCTTGGTTAAGTTCATTTTAATAAAATACTTAACATATGCTTAAAATATCTCTTATAAATGGGATTGCTTTCCTTGATTTCTTTTTTTTAGCAAGGTAACTACTTGGGTATAAATGTTACTAATTTTTGTTTGTTTGTTTTGAGGCAATGCCTTACACTGTAGCCCAGTGGTCTTGAATTTATGGAAGATTTCCAGCTTCAGCCTCCAAAGTACTGGGATTACAGGCATAAATCATCATGCCAAATTGGATTTTTATATGTTGATTATCTGCCTTTCTTGTCTTTGGACCAAATACGTCATGGAAGCTACTTAAGGGAAAACAATGAATTTGGCACATGGTTTAAGGGGATCATTGTAGGGATCACTAATGTCCACCATTGTACACGGACAAGGCATGGTGACTGGAGTGTCTCTAAGTAGTAGCTCTTTGCACAGTGGTGAATCAGGAAATAGAGAATGCAGGCCAGAATCAGAAGCTAGAGATCACTTTCAAGGTCACTCCCAGTAATCCAATTGAGGTAGACCACAACCCCAAAGATTCAAGTCTCCCTCCCTCCTTCCTTCCCTCCCTCTCTTCCCTCCTTCCCTTTCCCCACCCTCTCTCTTTCTCTTGCTTTATGACTTTGGCTGATACTTTCAGAATTGTTAAAGAAGAGTAATAGAGGTGGTTATCCTTGTCTTTTTCTAGTTCTTAGAGGAAATGCCTTCAGCTTTCATCTCAGAAGTATGATTTGACTGTGTTTGTTATTTATAATCTTTATTAAGATGAGGAGTATTCCTTCTAAACCTAATCAGATGAAAGTTTTTATTATGAAGTAGTTTTTATTATGAAGTAGTGTTTACCTTTTTCAAGTTCTTTTTTAAAATGATATTTTATTTTTATTTTATGTGTATGAGTGTTATGCCTGCATGTAGGTAAGTGCACCCATGTCATGCAATGCCTGCAGAGAACAGAAGAGGCTGTCAGATCCTCTAGAACTGGAGTTATGGACAGTTGTTAGCTGCCATGTGGGTGCTGGGATTTGAACCCGGGTCTTCTGCAAGAACAGTCTGTATTCTTAACTGCTGAGCCATCTCTCCAACCCCAACTTTCTTCAAGTTCTTTTCTACATCTATTCAGGGTATCAGATAATTCTTTCCTTTCTGTTGATATGAGGTATAAATTTATTGATTGCATATGGTGAACTATAACTATCCCTTGGAATACATTGCACTTGATCATGGTGTTTGATCTTTTATTTTCTTATTTTATTTATTATTGAGAGAGAGAGAGAAAGACAGAGACAGAGACAGAGACAGAGAGACAGAGAATGTGTGGAGGCCAGGGGACAACTTTGTGTAGCCAGTTCCCTCCTTCCACCTTTACGTGGACTCAGGGATTGAACTACGTAATGAGGCTTATGTGCAGCAAGTATCTTAACCCCTTGAATCATCTTACCTGCCACATATTTGATCTTTTTGGTGTACAGTTGGATTGGGGCTGTTATTGTTTTGTTGAGAATTTTTACATCTATGTTCATAAAAGATCGTGATATGTAATATTCTTTCTTTGTTGTGTCCTTGTCTGATTTTAGTGAAAGGGTAATTCAGGCATCCTAGAATGAATTTGAGAGAGTTCCCATCCTCAGAAAGGCCTTGCAATGGTTGATAGTTGAGATACTTACCTTCTGGCATTTGCAAGTATAGAAAAGGAAAATGAGTATTATTTATTTCCTGCTTATAAATACGAAATTCCTGTACTGAGGTATTGCATTAGGAATGAATTTACAAAGTTTTGGCCACATTTACAGGGATGAATAGATTGTTCTATTCATGTATGCCTGGGAAGGCAGGGGCTGAATGAATCTTATGCTTTCCAGTGGATAGAAGTGTATTTGATGGAGATGGTCAAGTTGTGGCTTCACCTCTTGTTAGAGTCCAGTTTGCTTAGCTTACCATTTTCTAAGAAAAGGCAAGTCACAGAACTCACAGCTAATCACAGTCTTTGTTTCCATTGATAAAGGCTCTAAGTTATGAATATTCATTGGGAAAAAGTCTTTTAAAGTTGTGTCCTTGTTGTCTCCCTTTTCCACTCGTGTGATACACTGCATTTGCCTTCAAAATATAATAAATATCTCTTACTTGTGCCCTCTAGAACTTTGGAATCTACTGGGGAAGACATAATCATTTGAAAAATAACATTAAAGTAGGCAAAAAAAAAATTCTGGTCTCCTCTATACTTCTCTCAGGGTCAGCCCTGGTACTTTCTTCCTGAGAATTAGAGACTTAGACCTAGAGAACATAGCCTCACAGAGCAGAGATACTCAGTAAATGTAAATTGTTTGACTGTATGATCTTAGCAGGCAGGAAGGGCTTTATAGAAACAAATGGGATTTAAAATGGCCCTTTATAAGATAGGTTTTATAAGTGTATGCTGGGGGTGAGAGAAATCCCAGAAAGCATAAGCTTAATTTGGGGAGTACTGCTTAGATAAGGTGAGGGGGCTGATCAAGGAAAAGTTTGATATTACTAGAAGAAAAACAGATTGGGACTTTCATTGTGGAAGACATTGCATTTCTGACTTAGGAATAACAATGGTCTGAATTTTCTTCAGAAGGAAGTGATTAGAGCAACATGGCAGACAATGATGTAATCAGATTTCCTGAGCCTGGAAGACAAGGTGTATGTGGGCTTTCTAAATCTTAGTTTTCTTATAGAAGAATTTATTTATTTATTTATTTATTTATTTATATTTATTATTTATTTATTTGCTTTCCTTGATTGAACTGAATGAAGTTATGTGTCACTATCTACAAAGAATTGGTTTTACAGTTTATCCATGGATACCAAAATCTATGAAGTCCCTCAAGATGACATTATATTTGCATATAACCTATACATATCTTCCAGTATGCTTTAGTTATATTTAGGTAATTAGAGTTCCTAAAACAATGTAAGTGCTATATAAGCGGTTGCTATACTATATTGCATAAAGAAAAATCTGTATATGTTCAGTACAGATGCAACAAAAATATTTCAATCCTATGTTGTTTGGATCCATAAATGTCGAACTTGCAGATGAGGGCCCTGACTGTATTTGGCATCAAGCGATTGTGGTTTGCTGGTACGTGTCAGTGCACTGTAGTTTGTAGTCAGTGGTAATACTGGAACTATTTTGGCTGCTTTCTGTTCTTATTCACTTGAATGACTGCTGGCCTGAATTATACATTTTTTCTTTTTTTAGCTGATAAGTAAAATTGCTGGGTGCTGAGATATATCTATACATTGTGTAATGGCTAAATCAAGTGTATTTAGCATATGTAAAAGCTCACTTTAGAATGTTCTTTTCCGTAGTAAGAACACTTAAAAACATCTCATAGTAATTTTGAAGAAATGGATTCTACTTTCCTATTTACTTGATACTGTTATTCTCCTAGAACTGAAAGAGAAAATGAACACAGGATAAATAAATATTTGCTGACTCATGGAATATGCCTGATCTGTTATTTCTTTAAGTCTTATATACTCAATTAAAGTCTTAAAATTATTCCAAAAATTTGAAAATGCCAACCCACTGAAGAATTAGAAGAAAACATTAGAGGAGTAAAAGCAGCAAGTGGACTTGTACAAGGCCTGCATGAGCGCTCTGCTCTGCACTAGAAGTTGAGGCCACCAAGCCCCAAGTCCAACTGGTAATCACCTCTAGAGAGCCAATAGAAACACTTTTAAAATCAAGACTGTTTCACAAGGATATAAAATAATTTGACTGTGATATTTATGGCAGTCACATTCATACCCATTTGTTAAATGTGAGGCTTTTCTAGAATAATCTAGGTATTTGTGGAAACCAGCTGTACAGCTAATTTGCTTGCTTTCTTTTCATATATGGAACACTGTCTCTTCTGATAAGAGAATGCAAGAATCTGTTTCTTACATTGACTGACTAAGGGCTTTGTCCTCTCTTCTTCAGAGACACGGAATACAAAGGGCTGCAGCTTTCCCTGGATCAGATCTCAGCTTCCAAACCCACTTTCTCCTATGCCAGCAGCTCCACACCCACCATCACTGACAATAGGAAGGGCGTGAAGACTAGGCTCTCTAGCTCAAAGTCAAAATCCAGGACTTCCCCATACCCACAGGTAAGTACATGGATGTTTTGCAACTTTCTTTTCTTGTGACTTAGTTTGATCTTGAAGTTGAAGAATTATAAAAACAAATTAACCATCTGTTTTAATAGATTAAAAACTATAAATCTGGAAGCTTTTCTGAAGCTATGTTTTTATCCTCTTCTTCCTTTAAAAATGTCAATGAAAATTATGAAATGATTTTGTTGTTTGCTGTGTTTATATAAAGCTTATGAGAGTCTAGTTTTCATAATCAAAATTTCTTTGTTATTTCCAGGGCATTGATTCTACTTGTCCCTCCCCCTGCTTCCCAACAGTGATTAAGCAAGAGGATGTAGCAAGCACAATCACATAAGAGCTTGGTATAGAAAAATTAAATTAGGACAGGAACTTTAAAAGGAGAAAATTAAGAGGTGGAAGCAAAGAATGAAGATTGATGTTCAGTAAGAGATTTGGACACAAGTTGACTGCAGGGGAAATGGACAGATACAACCTTTCAGATGACAGTAAGCGTAGAAAACAAGTCTCTTATCTCTGTAATATAGTGAGATTATGAGACTCGAAGGAGTTATTCTAGAAACACTACAGGGTACAAATACTCAACAAGGAGATCTTCATATTAATTTGTACTTTGGAAAATGAGTTTTATTGTTCCTTTTTACTACTTTCAAGGAAGGATAATTTGGACCTTTGGGTGCCCCTTTCCTAAAATATATGTGACTGTTGGACACAAAGATGAAAGAAGAATTTAAATTAGGAAATATTATATTAAGGAGTTTGCTCTTTGTTAATTAGAAATTAACACACACATATGCATACACACACACCTTGTTGAACCTCTAAAACATTATTATATAGTTTATTTTTCTTCATGCTTACCTCTTAATATCTAAATTTTCTATCAGTTCACTAACAGTAGAAGCTCTTAAAAATATTTTAATTCCTAAGCTGGGTGTGATGGCACACACCTTTCCCAGCACTCTAGAGGCAAAGGCAGGTGGATCTCTGAGAGTTCAAGGCTAGCCTGATCTACATAGTGAGTTCTAGGCCAGCTGGGGCCACAGGAGACCCTGTCTCAAAAAGACATCAAAAGGACCCCCCCCCCCGCGCAATTTTTAAAAAAATTCCTAATAGATGGCTTCTTGTGTTTGGCTGGTGAGGAGTTAGATTTAAAGTTAAACATGTTGTGTAGTTAAAAAACTATAGAGGAATAAAAAGTAGAAAATCTTTATTCTTTACTTAAAATTCTACTTTTTTCTTTATCTATATATAGATATTTTTATCTATCACTTTGTTCTGTGATAGATAAAAATCACACATATTTTGTTTACATGGGATTTCTCGTGTTTATTCATTTTTGAGTTACACTTGTATAAATGTAGTCCTTAGAATTTTAGCTATTTGCCTCCTTTGAAGCATAACAATCATAAGTTTAAGTTTACCTAACATTCAGATGCCAAATAAAGGTTATTCTTTAATTGTGTTTATTTTAGACAAGCATGGAGGTAGGTCAATCATTGTCCAAGTTCCCACAGTATGGGCTACTAATATATACACGTCAGAAATGGAACATGCTTTTTGTACTTTTGAGGATCCACTGGCACAAGCTGACAGGTGAATAGGCATTCTCAATTAATTGTCCTGGTGTGAGAGTATCCTCCAGGGGCACATAGAAAAAGTGTTGCAACCGGGGGAAAGCTCATTGTTTCTGCTGAAGAAAACAGCTTAGAAATCTGTCCATCTCAGATTTAAATGTCAAGACATTTTAAAGAAAAAAAAAAGAGCTTTAAAAAATATTATTTGGTCCAAATTTCCTTAAGAAAAAACTAATCTTTAGTTTTCATACAGCACACTTTGAGTCAGCAAATAATAGCTGAGGATTTGTTTTAGAAGGATGCTACTGTGAGATCTGGGGGCATGGACTGGAGAAGTTAAATGGTGAAAGAAATATATTTAGATTTTTCAATAAGTTATACAATAGAGTAAGATGTGTTATAAGAGATGATGATATAAAGAGTTTTGTGAATGCTGTCAATGACACGGATTCTGGCCTGTTTATGGGAGGTGGGGTTGATCTAACTTTGGGGCCAGGATTCAGGCATATGGAAGTAAGAAAAGGGGAGCTGGAATTCAGGAAGACTAAGCTTTTGAGGAAATGCAAGAACACACCGATAGTGTGATTGGGCCTGGAAGCGGAGTGGGAGGGTTGGTCTCTGAATGAGTGAGTGATGCACTTGGAAACAGATTGGTGTCAAATATACGAGTGTCACTTGGAGGTAGGATGTGAGAAGACTGATACCATCAACTATTCAGACTAATTTTAACAGCTATGGTGTGAGCCTATGAAGACCTAAATTAAGTTCTTTACTGAAGTAAAAGGCAATGTAAAGAAACAATGGTCTTTTTTTTTTATCCTTGGCTTCTTATTATAGATTCCGATCATTATAGATTTGTTTTGAAATTATACTTTAACATGCTTTCAGTTTTTCAAGACAAATTTATATTGAATTCCTCCATATGTATTAATGGATGAATAATGATGACCGAGTGATGGTTTGAGTTGTATTTAGTTTTAGATACTCTGCCCATTTTTCAATGTAGTCTTTTCTTTATTCTTATTTCCATGCAAAAATTCTCATTTTATTTTTCAGAGGGCAGTATCCAGAGAAAAATGGAGCTTATAAAATAATAGCTTGTGCCTCTTACTACTTAGGTAAATGGTGATTTAATGATTCTATAGTATTTATTATGTATCCTTTACTGACAAATATTAGGTACATCTAGAAATTTCTAACAGATGTCTGATGAATGGCAAATAGCAATTGTGCTCTTTTGAATGATTTAGACATTCTTATATGAGCATTCAAGACATGTACAAATTATAATTCAGCACCGTCACCTAGTTTGGATGGAGTAGTAGATGGACCTTCAGGCTCTTCCTTCATATTAGACATCCTTGGAAATAATTTTAGACTTGATTATATTATGACTGTTTAATGAATGATTCAATCACCTTTGAAGCTCCATGTATTACTTGGGATGGGAAAGATCAAAATAGAGTTGTTTTGAAAAAAAAGCTGTTATAAGAAATATTATAGTTAATTTCCAAAGATTTTTTTCATATAGCTACTGTGCTGCTGTGTAGCAGCTGTTCTACCATCTTTCAGTTGCATTTTATTGTTGGTTTTATATTAATGAAAACAGCAATATATTTTTTGTAGTTCTTTTGAGTTGGAACTTCTGATTTATGGGATTTATTTTTCAGACCTTATATATGATAGATTGATATGTTTCCATCTATTTTATTGCATCTAATCCTGACTACTCTAATACCAGTTGAAAGTTATCTTGCTATGACTTGTCATGTTAATCATGAATACATTGCCGCCTGACTTCAAAGTTTCTTTAAACTTCTTACATTGGCATGTTTATAGTTGTGTTTAATAGAGTCAGTGTGTACAATCCAAGTAAACTCAGATGCATCATGTTGCTCTCCTCTTACCTTTTCCCTAATCAGTAGTAACCAGTACATGGTGTCATCTCTAATAAAGGTGCATGTATTATACAATGGATGCTTCTGAAATCTGAAAGTATTTAATCACTGGCTACAGACACACTGTAACACTTGTGAGCTTTATTCTACATCTGAGTTCTTTTTGCCTTAAAGGTTCTTTCTGTCTTTTCTCTATTACACTGAGAACCCATCATTTTAAATTTCCAAGAATAAAAGTATTGATAATTTTGCAAGAAAGTAGCTCCATTACGCATAGTACTTTAAAAAATATTTTAACATTTTATTTATTATTTTTATTTTATGTGTATGAGTGTATTGCTTGCATGTAAGTAAGTGCACCCATGTCGTGCAATGCCTGCGGAGGACAGAAGAGGCTATCAGATCCCATGGAGCTGGAGTTACAGATAGTTGTTAGCTGCCATGTGGGTGCTGGGATACGAACCCGGGTCTTCTGCAAGAACAACCAGTGTTCTTAACCACTGAGCCATCTCTCCAGCCCACACATAGTACTTTTATCATTACTAGTATGGATATCCCTCATTTGGTGTCTTATATATAACATGAAAACATGTATTTCTTGACTATTTTTGACAAAATACTAATGTATTTATATGTTAAATGAAGTCATCTTCCTAGGAAGTCTTATACTACACAGGCTTATTTATAGTAATAGAATGTTGCCATGTAGCAATTAAAGGTTTATCTCTGCCTCCTGTAGAAACATCAGGAGATTGCTAAAACAGACACTTTTGGCTTTTCTAGATTATCTCCATGTATGTTCTTCTTAGTATTATTTTAGAAAATATTTTGTTCAGTTAGGCGAGACCTCTGTCTTTGAGTTTGTGCTTTGTTTTTCTCCCAAGTTCTTCATTTACTTAAATACTGATGATAGGCAATAAAGTGCTAAAGGTGACTATGTCCATGGTCTAGTTGAGGAGACAAAACTAGCCCTCTAGAGATACATGACTGGTCATAGATTCTCAGGTCCACAGCTTCTGCCTTGGCAACTGGATGGGGGAGGAGAAGACAGTGGTATATAGGGGTATTGACCTTTGCCTACTCTTCCCTTAATAAATTCAAAAAGGTTGGAAACATATAAAGTATCTTTTCTGACCACAATGGTATGAAATTAAAACTCAGTAAGAGGAGGAAAACTGAGATATTCACAAGTTTATAGAAATTAGACAACACACTCCTGTGCAACTAATGAGTAAAACTGAAAAGACTGAAAAATCTTGGAACAAATAAAAATGGAGACAAAGCATAGCAAACAACATACCAGATATAGCAAAAATAATACTAACAAGAAGGGTTTTATATATATAAAGATTTTAATAAAAAGGAATAAGCATTTGGAATATAGTTCAGGGGCAGGGTGCTTGCCACTGGGTTTAAGACTCAGTACCTCTCCCTACACAAAGAAAGCAACCCCCCCCCAAAAAACCACAAATCAAAAAGAATGATTTCAAGCTAGTTTTATGCCTAAACATGAAGAACAAAC